AAGTCTATAAAATCGGTAGGGTAAAGTGGATGTAACGGCTTCACATTAACCCTCAGGAATGACGATCTTGTGCTTTGAGTTCGCAAAGCTTACTACCTATAAGGCCGTTCTGTTTAGGCGAAGGATACTTAAATTTAAAGTCCGAACGGAAGGATATGGAATCATTTACTTACTAGTCTCCAAGAAGCAAAACTTCCATTATCATGCCGTAAATCTTCTGAATTGACGTTATTGACCACTAATGGGCAAGATGGACGAAAGGTACAAGATGTGCCAAATGAATGATATTAGGATGTAAAAATATGAAGCGAAAACAACTACATTTTCAACGGCTGGCTTGTTCACGCTGTTCATTTCGTTCAACATGTGATAATTGCAGTCTACTATGAATGAGATTCATGAATTTATCACTGTTTCTATACCCTGTTTGTCTCAGTGTGTCATTCAGTGAAAGATCATTGCAGAAATACATAGTTCGCTGATTTATTTTTGGTAATAAACGGTCTTACCTTTATTCGAACAATGGTTAGATTAGTTTGTCACAATTTCTGTACTCTGTATGTAACAACATTGATTGAATGTACAGTCGCCGATTCATTTTGGTAATAAACATTTTCATTCTGTTTCAACAGTAGATATCTATAGTTTGTGGTCTTCAATTTCGTGATATTGTTATTTGTTGTGATCGTCGCATTAAGCCATTTATGTAAGCAGAACGTCTCTAGTTTGCGAAGTCCGCTATCTTATCATCTTGTCATTAACTTTTGTTTTAAGGGACCGGTTGTGCTTCGTAAAAGAAACAGATCCTCTCTAAACACAAATCTACACTGTTCATTCACGTTTGTTGCACAATCGCCTCCTGGTCCATGTGTTGTGTTTCGTCTTTCACATGAGAAACACGTGGACTGGAGTAAATGGTTTATGGTCAACCAGTTTGTCTAAGGTGGCAAATTTTCTTCCTTCTTGTGGTCTTGCCATTTACCACTCATTAGGAGTCGAACCCAGTCCTGGTGTATGCCGCTCAGCTATCGTTCTTGGTTAATGGCCGCGGTCATGAATGGCTTATTTATAATGTTTCTAGTGGTTGAATCAACTTGCTGATCACCGCGTAGGCTTTAGTCATTTCATTCGTGATATTTCAAGGTGAATTCACTCATTTTCCAAAATTTCAAAATATGCGCGGAAAGTACTCTAAGAATTAGTGCTGAAGCCCATGCTAGGAAAATCAGAAATGATTTTGATATTAGTTGTATAAGATTTCACGAAAGTTGATATTTATGTGTGAAAAATTCCAAATTTATGTGCGAAATATACCTTTTGCCTGGATTTGCTCCACGATTTGTAATTATGGCTCCTGAGTCATAGTCTGCTTCAAATGTGTTTTAACAACTTTGTAACTACATTTACACCTATTAGATAATGTAATCCTTTGGTAAGTCACAAACGGGAAGACCATGCATAAAAAGTTATTTAATTACAGCCATCTCACGTTTCGGTCCAGACTCGGTCTTCAGAGTACATTAGCAAAAGCACGTAATATTTCTCCTTATATTACTGGTGCCGTGCTTGTTTACTGGTTTTGATTGGCCATCTGATGTTTACGGTCCATGTGTCGCTGACGTCTGTTCCAAGGTCACGGTTGATACAGTTGGTTGCTCTGATCAACAACGCTTCTTTGACCTTACGGGAGAGATATTGTTGTTCCCGCGTGACGCCTTTCATTTTGTCCCATGAGATATTATGTTGATGGGTAACAGTATGTTCCACAATGGCAGAATTTTTCTCACATTCTTCCTTTACAACCCCAGGGTCTTTCGTCTGTCTCCGACCTCTGCCGACTTGCTGTTGATCCCTTTCTCTAGCATCAGCGTTCTTCCACCTGATCAAATTCCTCTTGTGGTCTGTCTTCATTTCTTCAACCGTGTTACCCGTTTCGCCCACGTAAACCGCACCATAGGAGCACGGGAGTTGGTGCACCCAACCAGCTTGTTGCTCCTTAGGTTTCTGGGTCTTGAGGTGGCTTGGGCGGCTACGTAGAGTAGCAACAGGTTTGAATATCAGGTTGAGTCTGGAAGCAGATCCAATACTTCGCAGCTTTTCACTCAGTTTGCGAACGTATGGTAAGGTGATGTAGGTCTTGTGATCAGGTGAGCTGGTAGAAGCCTCTTGTTTAGACAACCTCGTCAAGCCTTCTTTAAAGGTGTTCG